ATACATTGCTATAATACTGCGATCGTTCGGTTTAAATAAACAATCACAAATAAGGGTTGAACTGTGACGCTGCCCCTTCCTAAGGGACCGCGCGATTCGTCGAAACGGGAATTGTTTCAGCCTGCAGAATTGCTGGTCTTTAAACTGGACCGTGTTTATTGTGGTTTCCGGCTGTATAACAGCTCGTGGCTGCGGGCCGCATTCTCGGGGATCTTGGCTACACCTCCGAGTCGAAAATAAGGGGTTGCAAACCACTACGAGCACCGGAGTTAGACAAATTACGCTGTCTCCGGTTTACTCGGCCGAGGTTGCCGACCCTGGGGCACNCAAACGGAGCCGCGGATTGCATTTTCGCTAAGGAGAAAGTTGCTTCGAATCATCTCAGGAATCACTTCTTCCTGAATATTAACATAATTACGAGACACTCTGTATACGATGGATATACGAATTCTTCGTAATCAAGTAAGAATTGCAACAATTATTCCGGCATTCCAGTAGGTGACCGACGTCAAATAAAATTATAGAAAAGAAATTATAAAACGCTATTCAGGGGCTATAAAAATATAATCGATTTGATCGCATCTTAAAAAACGCGATTTTCGAACATTTAAACCACCGTTCGACGAACCGATCGTTACGCGACGCTGTCTGCGCGAGCGCGCGCGAGCGAATTTGTGAAGAAGAACGTTTAAAAATAAGGGTAGAATTTCTGCATCCGCTTTCATATGTCGCATCTACTTTTTCTTCTATTATTTGTGCCGCCGTTTCAAGAATGGGTCACGATCCAACGGTGCTTCGCGGCCGGTATTTTTACCGTTCGGTTTTCGGGCATTCTGACGAACAACCGAGTCGCGAGGTCATCGCCACGGGTCACGATCTTGCAACATCGTTGCCTTCGACGGATAGCGAGCAGATATACCTTTCGACGGCGCGTGGCAGGGGTTCGTTCGGAAGAGAAGCAGTCGTGTCTCGATAGAGAAACTCGCGTCTTTGGCGAACGTATTCGGTGAAACACGGGACCTCGATAATTCCGTGGCTCGGTTGACGAGTCAAAGGGCAATATCGCCGGAGTTTGACGACGCTGATTATTTTCCAGATAGATAGATAGAGAGCGTGAGAGAGAGAGAGAAAGATAGAGGAGGAAGGGATGCACTCGGAGTCTCTCGCGCCATTGGTCCCGGGGATGCAGCGATGCCAAGGCCATTCCCGAGGGACAGTGGAATTGCTTCCGTTCGCATTCGAGCCCGCTCTCGATATTCATGCCGGCGAAATGAAGGAACGGGAACGGGGAAGCCCTATATTCCGGGGGCCACAACGGCTAGGCGAGGTGCGCGCCGGTTCTGCGGCTCCCGTGGATTTGTTCGCGTGTAGGGGTGTCCTTTTTCCGCGCTCGACGCCGGCTGAAGAGCACTCGTCGCGATCGATCGATTGGAAACTATTCCCGGCCATTACGTCGGGAGTAGTCATCGGAGAGAGACGGAGGACATTACCGGGCCGGCTGGCCATGGTTCCGACAGAGATAACGAACCGAAAGGGAGAGAGAGAGAGAGAGAAAGAACGGCGGACCGGGCGGGGTCGAGAGGAGAGGAGCGCGGCAACCATCCGCTCCCTTGGAGCGAGCGATTCATTATGCATCCGAACGAGATCTTTGCGAGTGCGACCACGATAATGTGTACGAGGCCGTCGGAGTGTACGTAACCGTACCACGGCCACGATAACGGGCTAATAATAGAGACAAAGGGCGCTTCGACAGCCGCAGTCTTTTCCCCGACGTTTGACGCGCACCCCTTTCGCCACCCTCGCGCTCTCCACGACGATTTCCACGGCGCCGCGATGCGCGGCTAACGCGCGCCGCACGCGGTAAAAAACATTTTATCCTTATCCGAGACCGGGTACGTCTCTAACATGGAGGTTTTTATTTTATACGCGGTCCAAACGGCCGTTTGATTTATTTCTCTTGGTCTTTCTTCCTTGGCCGTGATCGCCATTTTTGCACGCTGTCGTTTTACTTTGGTCGCGTCAAGTGTCGAATCTCACGTTTCTGTAAAATTCGGTAACGTTCTTCGTGGAATCTTGTTCACTTTTTTTAAATAATTAATAAATACGCAGAATCGTGCTTTTAAAGTGTTCTTTTTAACTGATATTTCATAAGTTTTGTTTATCGTATAAATACACCAACGTTTTTACTTGAAATTTCGAGAGTAAGATTTCGATCTTCAAAATGCGACCAAAATCAACGCTGCACCTCGCTGCGTTCGTAATTAAAAAATAAAACGATGATTTAACCTATCTGCAATTAGGTATAACTCGGAAAGTATCGGAGACGTGAAAGCGCAATTTAGTATAATTTAAGTACATAATTTTCCTGTCGCTCGTCACATTCAATTTCAAAAAACGAAGCGCATGTAATCGACGATTCTTTAATTTCAGACGATTTTGAAATCGGCTGCGTCAAAGTCTCCCGTTCATGACAGACGAATGGCAAGAAAAGAGATAATTCATTACAGCCGCCGCGTCTAAAGTTAACTAATTGTCAAGACTTTTCTTCATCGTAAACATACTTTTATGAAACGACTCTTTACCTCGTTCGGCGCGCGATTGGCCCACAGTGCGCCGTTCTCTTTGATACACGATTTATACGACTTTCCACGGGCCCCGTGCAAGAGAGACAGGCGTCTCCTCTTCGACGACTAACGGCGGACGCACAAAAGACCCGGGAATTGAATGATTCGCGAACACAATGGTACCTTCATTTCGGCCGGAGCACACGAAACGGGCTCCGAGGGCAAACTCGAGCACGTGAAACTGCCGCCGAGACGTTCCGCGATTTTCTACAGGTGTTTCTCGATGCAGTAATTTCTTCCGGAAATGTTCGAAGGTCGGAATTGAAACCGGCAGATCTGAGAATACTAAGTCGCGAGGCCCGAAGAATCGTTTTGTAGAAACTCGGGGCAGTTGGCAAAAAAAGGCGGCTAAAATGTCTTAACTTTTTTATTTCTAATTTTTCGCCACGATTCGAAGGAAATTCGGGGACCACTTGACACGATTCGAAGGCAATTCGGAGGCCACTTGACACGATTCGAAGGCAATTCGGAGGCCACTTGACACGATTCGAAGGCAATTCGTAGGCCACATGATACGATTCGGATGCAATTCGGAGGCCACTTGACACGATTCGAAGGCAATTCGGAGACCACGTGACGCGATTCGAAGGCAATTCGGAAGCAATTCGGAGGCTATATGCCACGATTCGAAAGCAATTCGGAGGCATCGACGTAGCAATAAATTACATAGGCGCAGGACAACCACAGAGAAATTCACAGTAACCCGAAATTTAGCATTTCCGGTAGAAATTGCTATACTTGTCACCCCAGCGGATAAATCATCATCGGCAGGTTCTCTCCGCGCCGGGTTGAAAATTGTCTGTCCCCCCTATCGCGCGTGTGCCGATGACGTACTTTATTACGGCGAGCGGCACATTTAAGTGGATAAAAGATAAATATCCGTGTTTCATCCGGATCAACCCGTGGCCCAATGTTTGCTCGACCAATAGCCGTCGCTCCGGCGATATTTTTCCAAGCGAAAGGGTAAATAATAAATAATATACCACCGTCGGTACACTATGACGTTGCCCGTCGGTCCAGGATCTCGGCCAACACCGAATTATTCCAAGGGAAATCGCGATGGATCAAGATACTCTTTTATTTATCGAACTTTGCGACCTTTTCATTCGCGCGGGATCGGCTTTCAATCTCTCATCGGGAATTGGAGAACAAAATTCAGAAAAGTCACTGCTTCGTGTCTATTCGAAACTATGTGCGTAATATGTTAAAATATAATATATTATATTAATATAAAATATAATATAATCATATTTAGCAGCAGAATGTTCAAAGAATTGAGCAGGTGTTTATTATTATTATTATATATTATGTTAATATAATAATTATATTATAATATTATAATATTATTATATCAATATAATATTAAAATATAATAATAATGTAATATATATTACATTATTATATACAATATAATATAATCATATTTAGCAGCAGAATGTTCAAAGTATTAAGCAGGAGTTTATTATTATTATAATATATTATATTAATATAATAATTATATTATAATATTATAATATTATTATATTAATATAATATTAAAATATAATAATAATGTAATATATATTACATTATTATATATAATATAATATAATCATATTTAGCAGCAGAATGTTCAAAGAATCGAGCAGGAGTTTATTATTACTATATAAAACATATTATATATAATTTATTACATATAAAATATCATATATAAAATAACCTTGACATAAGCTTAACATAACCTTCATTGTCCAAGTTAATTGGTCAGGAATGTAAGTCGAACGAAAATATCTTTCCTCTGATCTCGCAGTCGCGGTAAAAACACCATCATCGCTTCATCCGATTTCCGTCTCGGAAGTTCATCGGTTCGGACGCGTCGCCGTGCATCGTATCGAGGGAGCGCGACAAAAATCGTGTAACGAGGGGTTCAACAAGTGTTGCATCCGAGTGTTGCGACAGCCGGTTCGCGGCACCGGCCGCCCGGCAGATATAATTAACGTTGGGTGCGCGAGAACGCGGCTACTTGTTGGCGAATTTCTAGGGAGAAGCTTGGGAGGAGGAGGAGGAGCGAAGCGGAGCCCGACGAAGCCTCTTCCGGGCGCAGGAATCACGGCAATTAAAACGAGCAGGCGAGGGTGTCCGACGGGGATTTTTCGACAGGTTCGCGGGGGCGAATGGGTCCCGTCGGCGGGGCGAGAGTAATTCGGCGCGCTCGAGGAAGCGTAAAACGTGTCCGCCGTCCGAGCAGACTTTTTGGCGCGAGCTCGCTCGGCGAGCCCTCGGAAAAAGCGTCCCGAGGGAGACCGGGCCGGGTCGGGCCGGCGCGAGCAGTCGAAAAACATCAGCGGTCGAGCATCGAAGAGCCGGAATTAACGGAAGTCTGTCTGAAGTCGGAAGGATCGCCGTCGCGACGTTAATGACTTTCGAGTTCGCGCGAGACATCGATACGCGATCGAGTCGCGTTGCCGGTCGACTTCCCTGCCCGTCAAACATGTCGGACGACGCGCTTTTCTGCGCCGAGCAGATCAAGATCCCGCCGACCTTCCCGGACATTCTGAGGCTGTACATGAAAGCGGCGATCCGCACGCAGCCCTACGACCTTCTCCGATGGACCTGCGCCTACTTCCGGGCGCTGGCCAACGGCGAGCTGCCTCCCGTCAAAGTACAACCCCCGACCGAGACTCCGGACACGTCAAAATTAATTATACCACTTAATTATACAATTATATCATTGTAACCTGCGCTTCTCGGCTCGCCCGTGCGACTTGTCGCCAGAATCAACCCCTTTTGGGGTGTTTTTTTTTAAATTGCCGAGACCGTCCTCTTCGGGGAACTAGGTTATTTAACTTTTAATTTTAATTTGTTTGCCGAGTGAACGGGGCTAGACCGTGGATCTTTGTTGCAAAATAAAAAATGATCTAAGTTAATCGCAAGCAGCGTGAATTAAATGGAGATGTCTTTTCTTTTTTAACAGTCGTGATACATTGAAAATGATGCGAAAATGTCGTCCAATGTCTTGTTAGCTTTGTATTCGGCCTATCCATTTTTGTGCGTAAAATTAAGTGCATAAAATCCGCAGTGTAGCGATAATTAGATCGCGGATTTTCTGCGTTCGTGGCAAGATTGAATAGTCGCGATTTAAGATGGCGGATGCATTGAGAAAATTAAAAGATATCGATGTACCAACCTGTTAAAAGTTATTAAAAAAGGAAAGAGCTTTCTATTTAGTTTGTATATCTTGCAATTGACGAGAAAACAATGTTCATTTTGCATACAAATCCACGGTCTAATAATAATATTAATAATAATAATAATAATAATAATAGAGATAATAGTGTTTGAAATAGCGTCGAGTGCAAAGGGTTAAATATTGGAAAAAGCGAGCAGCGCGTCCTGAACGTTCGTCGCGTGCATAATTAACTTATCGCACACAATTAATTCATCGAACTCGTGCAACGGCTATATAAAATCTCTTCCCGTTCGTTCCTCGACGTTCTTCACATTTTTCTTTCGTTTCGGTGTCAAAGGTTTGTTCACCGGTAATAAATTACCATTACATATTACCATTATTAAAACAATCGAACGATCTGCTCGCGGCTCTTCCGAAATAAGCAGCGCAGCCTCGACACCGTCGCCGACGCGCCGACAGACTCGTCGTCGTCGAAGTTTTAACAACCGCTCGCGACGGACTTCGCTGTTTTCCGCGGAGAACTAGGTTGCTTACCGAACGCTTAAATAACGCGGAACGATCGATGGAACGCATCGTTATCTTTCGTCGTGCTGCCATCGTCGAATTTATACGTGCCGGCAACTTCTTGGATAAGACGCGCGCGGTCGGTCTCGCCGTTGTCGCCGATACGTCGACGCTCGACCCTCAAAGGGTTAATAAGGGCCCGGCAGACCGGGTATCCTCGAGACAGAAATTGCAGAACGATCCCCTCCGGTTCAGAGATGAAAGCGGCTAAACTGGATTTCCATTCGAATGGAAAATACTTCGGAAAATAGCGGCGAGTCGTGGAAGGAAAACGGCCGGCTCGATCTTGAAAGTCTCGAAAGTCGCGCCCGCGCGCGGTGTCTTGGTTTCGCTCGAGGCGAGGCGAGTAGAAGCGAGTAGAAGCGAGTAAAAGCGAGTTTGAACGGAGCTCCGGCGTGTCCCTTCCGCATCCCCATTATCTTACAAAGGGTTGATTAAAGTCGGTTTCAGCCGGCGCTCGTTTCGGCTCGAGTGGCGTCGTTAAACGTAATCTTTTTTCATTGCCTCCATTGTGCCACCTATATATACGTACATACACATATACACGTACATTCCTTGCGCGGACCGCTTCGTAATTAAGTGGATAGATAGGTAAATCAATCCGACCGGGGGAATTTAATTATCCGAGTGGAATTAACAGGGCTGGCCGTTCGGCTTACATCTTTGAGCTCGTCTAATCGTATCGGGGGCGATCAGTCGATTCCTATCGTAAAAGTTTAAGCTAACTCTGCGATAGAAACAGATAGAGTGATCAGGAGAGAGAGACAGAGACAAAGAGATGGGTAGATTGATAGAGAGATAGCGAGAGAGGGGCGGGGGGAAGAGGCAGAGTTACTGAATTTTCGCGAGCGCAGCGGGTTCTCTAACGCTATCAATTCCCATCGGGACCAATCGAAAGATTCGACCGCAGAGTTCGGTTAATGGGCCGAAATACCGTGGAACGATTAAATCGGTTAATCCGGCCCGTCGCTATAAATTAATTCGGCCGACCGCGCCGGCCGAAGCGGCGGCCGCCGCGCCGCCGCCTCTCTTTCTCCGTTGTCCTCTGTTTTCTATCGTCCCCGCCGATGCATAATAAACGACGCTCCGCGTCCATGACCCGCTGCTGCGAGAATACGTATAACGCAACCGGGCCGCGGAGCCTTGAACTATCGGATGGGATCCTCCTATTTCTCTCCTAGCGCCGGACAAGATTTTTCGTTTGTTTGCGAGAGACAAGGACTCTCGAGGCTGCGAGAAGAACGGTGTCCGTGACCCGGCGCTCACACAATATAGCAATGTCTCCCTTACTGACGCTCAGATTGTACACGAAAATGGACAACTTTGGAAGAGGGGTCAAGGTTATTTTTATATTATACGAGCCGCGAGGCTCGAATACTCGTATCTCCTCTTCGCAAATTGTCCATTTTTGTGCGCCATCTGGGCGTCAATTGGAGAGACATTACTGTACAGCAATGTCTCCCTTACTGACGCTCAGATTTGGGAAGAGGGGACATGATTATTTAAGCCTTACGGCTCGTTCTTAGAATTGTGGACAATTTATAACTATAAAAATAAACCGCAAGGCTCGAATAGTCGTATCTCCTCTTCCCAAATTGTCCATTTTTGTGCGCAATCTGGGCGTCACTTGGAGGGGCATTACTGTACAGCAATGTCTCCCTTACTGACGCTCAGATTTGGGAAGAGGGGACACGATTATTCGAGCCTTGAAGCTCGTTCTTATAATTGTGGACAATTTATAACTATAAAAATAAACCGCAAGGCTCGAATAGTCGTATCTCCTCTTCCCAAATTGTCCATTTTTGTGCGCAATCTGGGCGTCACTTGGAGGGGCATTACTGTACAGCAATGTCTCCCTTACTGACGCTCAGATTTGGGAAGAGGGGACACGATTATTCGAGCCTTGAAGCTCGTTCTTATAATTGTGGACAATATATAACTATAAAAATAAACCGTAAGGCTCGAATAATCGCATCTTCTCTTCCCAAATTGCCCATTTCTGTGGTCAATCTGAGCGTCAGTTAGGGAGACATTATCGTACGTACTCGGAGGTTTACCCGCTCCCGACGATATCGGCCCGTCGGTATTTTTATTCCGGCCGCGTCCCCGCCGCGCCGGATTCGTTCCTGACGTCGGCACTAAAACCCGACGAGACGTCGAATATCGCGGCCGTTAACCGACTCTACGTTACTACGGACGCTCGTTCCTTCGCTCGGGAATTTAGTCGGGAACAAATTCTGAATCCATAAAATCGCGGCACGCGATCCGCCGTCGGGCCACGAACCCGTGCCCTTCCGTTTTTCCCGAGAACGAACGATCGATTCGCATCGGACTCGACCAGCTGCCGCTTTTATAATTTTGTTAATAAAGAACCGGCGTCGGCCGAGGACTGTTCCCGGCACCGTGACGACGCCGGGCCGGTGATGATGCCCTTGACCAGACTCTTACGCCAATCATCGACCGGCGACCGTGACTCCTTGTCGTTATTATTATTATTATTATTATTTTTATTATTATCGTTTTATATTTATTATAATTATTACTACAATTACAATTATTATTATTGCAATTATTATTATTATTGGTACAATTATTATTTTATTATTATAATTATTATTATCATTCTATTATTAATCTCGCGATTTTTCAGAATGGTGTATTATTGTCACTTCTTTCTGGTGCCATATTCTTTTTATTTCTTGTGCTAGTGGAATATATTTTTCTACCCTTTTCTGTATATTTTTTATTGTTTTTGTACATATGTCAATGGTAAATTTGGTACCGTTTATTTTGTCTGTAAATATGGTATCTGGTCTATCGATTGTAATTGTTTCGTCAGTGAGGGTGGATTTGTGCCGGTATATTTTATGTGTGTTACTTTCTATTATCTTAGGGGGTGTTCTTTTGTAGTATGATCGTATAGCGTTCCTAAGTCGTGTTTATTTGTTAGTGCTGTGTGTAGGATTTTGTTGGTATTGTTGTGTCTGCCTGTGTATTATTATTTTTATGACAATGATTATAATGATGATGACTTGATGATTATGATTATTTATATCATTATCATTATCATTATTTATTATTATCATTATTATGATTATGATTATGGTTATGGTTATGGTTATGGTTATGGTTATGCTTATGGTTATGATTATGATTATGATTATTTTTATTATTATGGTTACGATTATTATTATCGGTTGTCTTTTGTATTCCGAAAAGACTGGACAGATAAGCAAATACGGAGCCTGGCCGGGACCGCAGGGCGAGAGGTGCAGGTGCTCGAAACGTGACCCATAAACTAAAATTAATGGCCGAGCATGGTCGAGCAATATCGGGTCCGTCCGTGATCCTCTCTTCCAATCTCTACATTTTAAATAAACGCATATATTAGCGGATATGTTTCTATATTTTCGATAGAACGAGGACGCCGGACTATGGTCGCTGACCAATAAAATTCCGTCGGCCGATAGAGAACGTTCAATATTTGAATGATTCGCGAATATGCGATCGCCGCTATGAATTAATACCGCGCGCACTTTTATTAGCGTCGCGCGACGCGCTGGAACAGGGCGAAGGTGCCTAAAATGAGACCCACTTTTTTTTTCATTTTTACGTTACATTTAAATACTAAAATATATATTATAAAATTATATTAAAAAATATATATTTAATGTATATATAATAAAAATATATATTTAAAATATATATGTACGATATAAAATATAAAAATCTCGGAAAATGGCATCGTGATACGAGACCCAGTTTGGCTTTCCCAGGAAATTCGTTTACTGTGCCTCTTTTTTAACACGTTGGACGTATCAAATTTGGCAATCTGAAACTTTATTGAATGCGCTATGCGATAGTATTTACGAAAAAAATTCTACACTTGTCACTCTTTCAAGATATTTATAATATAATCGAACTTCTTCAAAAACTTATCGCAACGTATTCCACAAATATATGGTTCTCACGACGCTGGACAGTTCTGGACGTCGACAAGCGGACCAGACGACCAAAGAGAGAGAGAGAGAGAGAGAGAGAGAGACATCCGTTAACTCGCAACGGAGAAGCATCGATACGACACAGGACATCATGCGAGAGGTCCTCGTATTAGGCAACTTTGCCCTATCGCGGAATATTCATAGACGATGAAAGCAGAATGATTCGATTTCGAATCGGTTGGTTGACCGCTCGCGAAGCTTTCAGAAAGCGAACCGTAGAGAGACAAATGTGACAAAGGGAACTGTTCTAAGGGATGGGTGGTGGAGAAAAGAATCCGTCGAGAATAGAGAGAGAGTGAGAGAGTCATCCTGGTATTTCCTTAGAAAAGACTGGAGTACCCGCCGTTTGTCCATCCGACGAGTATCACACCTGGGTACCTGAGGACCCTTTTGAACACGTTCGGTCCCATCGAGACGGTCGGCATGGTGGCGCTGCTGGAAAAATGGCAGGACATAGCCCTTCCGGAGTATAGCCTCTACCAGATCCTGCTGGTCGGCCAACTAACGTCCGAGAGAGAGTGTGACTTTTTCAAATTCCTCGCGATCGCCTGCGGATTCTTGGGCAAGGTAAGCCGTCTGGCCCGAGAATAGAAGCGCGCTCGCGACATTCTCTCGTGGAATACCTAAAATAGAGCCGCAGCCTGCAATATGGCCCCCCTATCTCTCCTTTTCTCCCGAGCTTTTCCCCTTTCTCTCTCTCTCGCGCTCTCGCTCTCTCTCGCGCCCTTGCGCGCTCTCTCTTGCTCTCTTGCTCTCTCTCTCTTACTCTCTTTCGCTCTCGTGCTCCCTCTCTCTCTCTCTTGCTCTCTCTCGCTCTCGCGCTCTCTCTTATACTCTCTCTCTCGCACTCGCGTTCTCACTCTCGCGCTCTCTCTCACGCTCTCTCGCTCTCGCGCTCTCTCTTGCTCTCTTTCGCTCTCTCCCTCTCTCGCGCTCTCTCTTACTCTACCTCCCTCTCTCTCTCTCTCTCTCTCTCTCTCTCTCTCTCTCTCTCCCTTTCTCCCTTTCTCTCTTTCTCTCAACACCCTCCGCGCGTGATCTTCATCGAGTCCGTATAAACGATATTTTTAGACGAGTCGTTAATCGATTCGCCGGTGGCACGGGCCACGCAGCGGTGATCGATCGCAGAGGCGCGCCTCTTTTTATCGGTCCGCGGGTATTAGCATAATCCACCTCGAAGGGAGACCACGATTTTTCTCTTTGCGGGATCCTCGACGAGTTTCGCTTTTAGCTTTTGTGCCACTCGGCGGCTACAAATTTTTTAGGAGGACGCGATAGATTTCGGCCCGACACCCGTGTCTTCTATCATTGGCACGTAACGAGGACAAGATTAGATAACCGGATACACCCTCCCCCCGCGCGGTCTCACGCTACCGACACGGCGCGATAATCAACCCGGAAATTCCAAAGATTCCGAAACTTTTAGGATATTTAAAGCGTGCACATATTGATTTAGCCAGCCCTAACATATCGTGCATTTGATATCTTCGCGTGAATTTGTCTTGCGTAAATTCGCTTCAAGGGGTGCAGATTACCCCCAAAAAGTATCCGATCATTTTCGATTTTATTGCCGCAATTCGCAAATCGAACGAAAAGACTCTCCAAACAAAAGTTACTTCGTTTGTTCGAATTTGTCACGCGGCATCACGAGCAGCATCGATTATTTGTTTACAACTTTCTCCAATTGTTCGGACAATTGACGCATCCACACGATGCGATTTCGACGAAAGAAGAACAACTCTTGCACGAGGACTGTCCTTCTGTCTCGCGCAGCCTGGAAATTACAGCGATGAAATAAGAAGCAGCCCCGAGCGTTCGGGGGTTAACTGCCACCCCTTCCAACGAATTTACGCGGGAAAAATAAATTGCCTAATAAATATCTTATCTCCACGTATCCCGAAAGTTCCAGAACTTTTCGAATCACCGGGTTGCTCATCATCCCCCTTGAATACCGCCTCCGCGTCACGCGCAACCCCTAAGGGGGTTGTCGCGACGTAACACGCGTGCATAACAAACAACGCGCGAATAACCTTAATAAATGCACAAAATACCGACGAAAAATACCGGACGAATCACGGCGGAATTGAGAAAAAAGGAATCGAAAGACAGGACGATCGTCGGCGACATCGACGGACGGAAACGTCGCCGTCGTTTCGCCCCCGAGGCCGCCGGAATCGTCGCACAATGGCGTAATAAAACTTTCGCCGATTGATTTTCGGTAGCCGGAACCAAGGAGGTTTTAGCCCGCGCATTGTCCGGTAGCCGGTCGAAGATACATAACCGTCGGCGGATTTGGGAGTGAGGGAGGGTTGTATTTAATTCGCGGACTCTTTAATGCGAATCGATGAATCATCGTTAGCCGGTTGAATGAAATTAATCACCGGCCATTGTTGCCGGGGCTACAATTCGCGGCGATTCACGGGGCGGCGCCCCCTTTGTGCCGCGCAGAACCTATCCGAAACGATGATATACGTGTGCGAATTGCTGACGGAAGAGCCAGAAGGCGGATCGGCGATGATACCGTTGCCGGTGTTCCTGCGGCTGTACGCGTATCTGTCGGAGCTGGACTGCAGCGGCGCGCTGCCCTGCACGTGCACCAGAGAGGCGACCGAGGAGATTCTTGAGCCGCGTGGACCGACTTCCGCTTCCGAGGACACCACCGCCACGTCCCGCTCGAGCCTGTACCGTGTCACGTGCGGCGACGTCGACGAGGAGGAGCGAGAGGAGGTGCGATAGCAGAGTTCCGCACGGAACACGGAATGTACCTGAAACGGCCGCACGGAATGCATACCTGAAATCCCGATGTATTGGGTTGGCAACTAAGTAATTGCCGATTTGTTCGATGAAATAAAAAATTTTTCTTTACTTGGAACGGAGTTTAATCTGTAATGTATTTTCCATTTCGTTCGATGACCTTTTGCCGTCTCTCCGACAACTTGAAAATTCCACGCTCGTAGAAAGTCTGATCCTTTTCGGCCGAAAACTGAGTTAAGCGAGATTTTACAGCGTCATCGTCGTTAAAAGTTTTACCACGAAGGGAGTTGTCCAGGGATCGAAATAAGTGGTGATCCGATGGCGCGAGATCGGGGCTATATGGTGGGTGTAAAATCGATTCCCAACCAATATCCATGAATTTTTGCCGAGTGGACAAAGACGTGTGCGGTCTAGCATTGTCCTGCTGGAAAATGACACCTTTACGATCGACCGATTCTGGTCGCTTTTCCTTGACCGCTGCATTCAATTTGTCCAGTCGCTAACATTCACGGATAATAAAAGATAACATAATAATAATAATAATTTTATAATATAACATTTACGGATATCATTAAAATGGGAGTGAGAGACATCTATAACTGAAATCGGCAATTACTTAGTTGTCAACCCAATAATATGATAAAAGGACCACGTGGACGTGCACAGATCGGATGCGTGCACAGGGGAAAGATCGCGCGCCCACCTTTAACATCGGTGGAGAAAAAAAAGGGCAGCCCCGAAAGCGGCAATCGTCGGGCCAGTGACGACGACTCTGCCCCGCCATAGAAACCAATCGGGGTTGGATCGATCCCGATAGCTCTGACCCAGCGATTTCACCGGCGAAACGCGCCGCGCCGCGCGACGGCGTTCTGTAAATTTGCGGGGCTCGTTTCGACGATGGGAACTCCGCGCCCGGCGCGCGTACACTAATTATTTCCCGGGTTACCGTTTCGATTGCGCGCGATTCCATTTGCACCGGTGCGTTATTAACGAAATTATATTTGGTTATCGTCGGCCGCC